CACGATGCGGGGGCCGCCCACGGAGGCCGAGCGGGCCGAGGAGCGTGCCCGCAAGGAGCTTGCCCGCAAGGTGGGTGGGTGGCCAAGCGGGCGTCCCCGAGGCCCTCCTTTCTCCCGCTGGGATTTGACACAGCATTAGGGTCACAGCGCTCAGAAACCACACCTTCTACAGCCTGCCATTCCTGTCTTCCCTTTGGTTGTTAAAAAGACTCATAAATTTATGTTCCAAATACAAGCCACGGAGAATCTCCCTTCCCGACTTCCCACAGTGAGGCTGCATCGTTCAGAGGTGTGTGGTAAGGCCGAGCCATGGGGATGCCCCACAGGGGCCTGCTGTCACTGTGATTAAAGTCTGTCCGTAACTGGAAGGGCCAGGCGGCTCGGCGGGTGCAGGTGTGTGTCCTGTAGGGTGGGGTGTGGCGGGGCAAGGTGAGCCTGGGCAGGCGCTCCCAGGTTCCCCACTTGCTGAGCGGCGGTCAAGAGAAAACAGTGTCAGCTGGAAAATCTGAGCCACACGCGGAAACCCTGAGGTTCGCGTCCTTCCTGGCTCCGTGTGGTGGGGCCGCAGGGCCGGCTGCCTGGAGCGTCTCTAGGTCCTGCCGTCTCAGGGGTTTTCACAGTGCCTAACGTTTTACTTTTCGTCACGTGAAGAATTCCCGCGACACATTTTTCTATTTAAAAAAGAAGAGAGAAGGGGGCTGAGCTGCTGGCGGGCAGCCGCGTCACTACAGCCATGTCTTGCAGTGCCTGGCCGAGCACGTGGACGCTCCGCAGCTGGCCTCCAGCTTCGAGGCCACCATCAGTAAGTTCGATAAGAATTTCTCAGCCCACCTGCTTGATCTCCTGGCCCGGCTTAGCATCTACAGCACCAGCGACTGCGAGCATGGCATGGCCAGCGTCATCTCCAGGTGGGTGCACCGGCCCCTGCCGGCCCCCTGCCCCGCCACACCCTCCCGCCGGCCCACGCACCCTCCCGCCACTCGGCGCAGGTGTGACTGAGGCCGCATGTGTTCAGCCGAGGCTCCCTTGGCCTCCGTGTGCCGCCGCTGGCCACTTGCTGACGGAGTGGCATCTGGGCGTTCACGTGTGCAGGTGTTCGTGTGCATGCTCACCTGCGTGCACGTGTTGACCGGTATACGTCAGGCCGCCCCATCAGCCCTCTCCCCATTTCTCTGTGTTCCGAGGGCCAGGCCTGGGTCAGCTGCACTGGCCGCTGTGCCCCAAGCCGGGACCCAGGACACTGGAAGGGCCCTTTGGCCCCAGCCGCGGGCCGTCGCACTGTCTCCAGGTGAGCAGTGAGGAGGCACTGCCTTCCCGCTGGCGGCCGGTCAGGAGACCCCGGGGAACGCACGGAAGGTCAGGGCCGCGCTTGCCCGGCCTGCCGCGCCTCGAGGGCCACGTTGGTGCCCCCCTGGGGTCCACCTCCCGTGACCCCGGGAGCGGCGAGCGTGCAGGGCTGATGCGAGCAGGAGTCCGCGGAATCTGGGGGGCTGCGGGGAGGAGCGTGCAGCGGTGAGGACGGGCGCGCGGGGCCCAAGGGCCGGTCGGTGGGGCCTGCGGACCTGGGGCTGGCGGTTTCCTGCTCCTCAGAGGGGACGTGGTGGGCCTGCTCCCTTTGGGGGCGGGTTCAGGTGAGGAGGGGTCTGTCTCTGCCCTGGGAAGCCTCCTGTTGGGTAGCCTCAGGCTCAGCCAAACGTTGGGCTGCCCTGTTCTGCCCACAGGCATTCCAATGTCCTGGGCTCCGGGGTTCGGAGAGCCCCAACGTCCAGGAGCTGGAAACGTTTGTCTCACTTCACCTGTGTCTTTTTTTGTGTGTGGCTGCGTTGGGTCCTCGTTGCTGCGTGCGGGCTTTTTCTAGTTGTGGCGAGCGGGGGCTACTCTTCATTGCGGTGCGCGGGCTTCTCATCACGGTGGCTTCTTTTGTCGTGGAGCACGGGCTCTAGGCGCACGGGCTTCAGTAGTTGTGGCACACGGGCTTCAGTAGTTGTGGCTCACAGGCTCTAGAGCGCAGGCTCAGTAGTTGTGGTGCACGGACTTAGTAGTTGTGGCTCGTGGGCTCTAGAGCACAGGCTCAGTAGTTGTGGCACGCGGGCTTAGTTGCTCCGCGGCATTTGGGATCTTCCCAGGCCAGGGCTCGAACCCATGTCCCCTGCATTGGCAGGCGGATTCTTAACCACTGCGCCACCAGGGAAGCCCTCACCTGTGTCTTTAAGCTTTATTCTCGGTATCGCCTGGGGCCTGTATGTGTGTCTGCGTGCGCGTGTGCTGGAGACTTGAGTGCCTCCCATGCCCTTCACCGTGGGGTGGTAAGGGGGTCGCCAGTGTGGCCACGGAGGCATCTGGAGGGACCCTGCCCACTTCCCCTGCAGGCTCGACTTCAACGGCTTCTACACAGAGCGGCTGGAGCGCCTGTCTGCAGAGAGGAGCCAGAAGGCAGCGCCCCCAGTGCCCAACCCGCGGGGGCCCGCAGCTCCAGCGCCCAGGGTCACCGTCACTGCGCAGTGAGGCCAGCTGCTCCCACAGCTGAAGCCTCAGGTGGATGAGTTCAGAGGTTTCTCACCACATGTTTCCAGAACGCTTGTGCTGTGTGTGTCCTGTTTAAACATAAAGTTGAATTGTCTGCACTCAGCTCCTCTCGTTTCTCGGGGCTCGTGCACTCAGACTGGAGAGGGTCTGCTTGTCTGCACGCTTTCCTGAAGCGAGCAGAGTCCTTTTAGAGTTTTTTGGTTTCAAGTCAGACAAAGTGAGAACACATGGCCTCTGAACAACATCAGGACAGTCACCAAGGTGCCAGGCAAGGGCGAGGTCTGGGCCTGATGTCCACACCTGTCCCTGTGAAGGGGGGCTGGGCTCCCTGGGGTCAGCAGGACCCCTTCACACCGCAGGCAGGGGATTGCTCCAGGCAGCAGGGGGCAGCACAGCCCCTTGTCCTGAAGCTGGAGCAGCTTGCGGGGTGAGTCACCGACACGCCCACTGAGGATGGAAGAGCTGCCTGGGGCGGCGGCTGAGGCTGTGGCCTCTTGTCCTGTTAGGCCCAGCCTTGTCCGGCCCCTCCCAACGGGCAGTGGGTGGCACGGCCAGCCCCAGGTGTGGCCTGGGGTGGATACCTTTGTGCTGCTCTGCCCCCCTCCCAGCCACCCTACCCTTTCCCTGCAGAATTCCACGTGGGTCGTTTTCAAAATTCAGTTCGGGCCACCTGCTCCAGGTGTCCCCCCCACTCCGCCCTGGCAGATGAGGAACGACAGGGTTCCCCTAGGGGCAGGGGTCGGGCAGCTCCCAGCCCCGCTGTTGCCTTGCGGAGGGGGCACCCTGAGCTGGGGGCCTGGACTCAAGCCACAGACTGCTTCCTCTTCTAAGCTGCAGTGCGTGCGGGTGCACCCAAAATACCACAGTCCGGGCTTCTGCAGCACAAGCTCTGAGCAGAGGCGCCCACTGGCCCTCCCACCTGGCCCGAGGTCCAGAAGCCCTGCGTCCCTGTCTGGGCTTTCCTGAAGGAGACACCTCCGGGTTGCAGGTGTTGACGGCGGGAGGGGAGCACCCTGTGGGCTTGGGGAGGGGTTCTCTGTGGTGGGGGGCCTCTGTGGGCCCACGTTGGTCCTGTAGGTGGGGTGGGGGAGGGGTTCTCTGTGGTGGGGGGCTCTGCGGGCCCACGTTGGTCCTGTAGGTGGGGTGGGGGAGGGGTTCTCTGTGGTAGGGGGCTCTGCGGGCCCACGTTGGTCCTGTAGGTGGGGTGGGGGTGCTGGTGCTGAGCCCCTGTCGCCGAGTTCCCTGTTGAGGTCTGGGAGGCAGAGCGTGTAGTCCCAGCAGCTGGGGGTTTTGCCCAAATAGGGGCACGTAGCCTTTGAACTTCTGCTATCAGATAACACGCAATACCAAAAGAGAGAAGTAAAATGGCCAGGAGGATTTGGGGTGGGTCACACGCATTGTTGTGTGAAACACGGTCATGTGAGGGCTCAGGGACACAAGCTGCCTGTGCTCCTTGCTCACTGTGGCCCTGGGGGCTTCTGTCACCCACGCCCGAGATACCCCAAAGTGTGTGCAAACCCCTCCTGCCTTGTTTTCCTTTTTCTGCTGTTCACTTTGGGGGAGATCATGGTCCTTTGAACTTTGACCTCTGGTCTGGACCCACTGTGGGCACCATACCCTTCCACCTGAGGCCTTGACACACTGATGTCCTGCCTTCCCAGGGGCACGTTCAGAATGAGGCTGGGGTGCCACCGGCCGGCTCAGCTGCAAGAGGCCTGGGTCCCCAGGTACCAGGCCAGAGTGGAGTCCAGCCTGCCGGGCAGGTCAGGGCGGGCAGAAACTGGGGGCCGGGGGCAGCAGCGGGCAGGCAGCTGCAGACTTTGGCCCATAGCGGCCGCATCCCAGGGCTGTCCACTGGGCCTCCACATACGCCTTCTCCACAGAGCAGGGTCTGCTCCCTGAGCCAGGCGGCTGCCCGGCACCTGGCCAGCGGCCCCACCTGTGTGCTCCCCTTGCCCAGTCTCCCCAGTGAGGCCTCAGGAGCCTGGGAGCAGGGCTGCTGGAGCTTGCACACGCCTCACACTCAGCAGGGCCTCCACTCCCACCCCACCCCCCGGCGCCCCCCCCCGCCCCTCGCAGCCCCAGCCTGTTTCCTCACCTGCATGGGGAATGCAATTGCAGGAGTGGCCCAGGTTAGTCTGTCCACCTGCCCTGCTTAATTCAGTCCACGTTGACAAAACTGTGTGCTGAACACTGGATACGGGACACTGTCCAGGAGCCCCAGGGGACCAGAAGGAGACCGGGGAGGCGGGGTGGGGGCGGGACCGCGCCCTCAGGTGCCCAAGCCCATCCCCTCCTGGCCCCGAGGGGCTGATTGGCCGCGGGCAGGGGGCTGGTCGCTGGGGCAGGGCGGGGCGCGAGGGCACGAGCCTCAGAGGCGAGGGAAGGACCAGAGCCAGCCTGAGCACGGAGCACCTTCTCCCCGGCCCCCGGAACCGTGGGTTCAGATCTGGACCCTGCCCGCACCGCCCGCTATGCACGGCCTCGGGCTTCTGCTGCTTGCTGCACTGTGGCTACAGGGTGAGTGAGTGCTGGGCGTCTGGCTCTGGCTGGTCCAGTCGCCTGGCCCCCTGCTCCCTGCGCGGGGCTCTGGGCTGGTCTCTGGGATTCGGTGGCGCACAGGTGGCCAGTCGGCGGGGAGGCCCTGGGCGGTGCACACACGGAACCTTCAAAAGGGAAGTGTGTGGGGAAACGGCCACCTGGGCGTTTCCTGCGCTGGAGGTGGGGACCGGCTGGGACAGAACAGGGTGGAGGACCTGGCTGCTTCGGCTCCATTCCGGGGCTTCGGGGGGACTGCCCACCTCCACGGGGACCCCCCCAGCCGGCAGGGAGGGGAGGACCGAGGAGCGGTGGCCTGGAGCCGAGGGGTTGGGGGCACCCCAGGGGGTTGTTTTGCCACATGGGGACCTGCCTCTCCTCTGGGGGGACTGGCTGTGCTGCTGGCCTTGGCCCCCACCCTAGCTCCTGAGAGCCTCCTGGGGTTGCGGGGGAGGGCGCTTACGGGGCAGGCCCTCTGCACGGCCTTCACTCCGGGAGGTTTGCCAGATAGCCGTTACGGAGACACAACCATTAACACCTTGAAAGAAGGAGAAAAGAGTCACCTGGGGAGTAGGTCTCCACCTCTGGGCCTGGGCTGGGTCCCTGCTGTCTCTTGTTGGATACGGGGCAGCTTCTAGATCTGGGCTGGGTGAACCCTGCGGAAGAGGGCTGCTAGTTCCCCGTTAGATGCAGTCACGTGATTAGTTGGGATGAAAAATGTCATCTGTAAGCGCTGGACGGGCAGACCTGCCCCCCACCCCGTGCCCCACCCCACCCCTCCCCCCACCCAGGGCCTGTGTGTGTCCTCATTCTGAGGGGGAGGGGCATCCGGGTCACCCCAGGGTCTGGGAGGCAGCCTGGTGGACTCCTGGAAGGGCAGGCGCTGGGTGGGGTCTCCGGGCACTGCCAGGTGCAAGTCTGCCCGACTCCACCCAGGGTGGGGGTCCTGCGGCCTCTTTCACGCAGAACCCCACTCGGGCTGGGCAGCCAGGCCTCAGAGTCTGCAGTCCCCACGCTGCCGGGCGATTCCCCAAGAGGAGATGCCAGCGCCCAGCAGGCTGGGAAGGGACCCCCAGGGCGGGAGGGTGCCCTGTGAGCCTGCTGACCCCCCTCTCCTGCAGAGGTCGCCCCCAGGGCCACCCTGCCCCATGTGGAGCAGTACGTGGTGGTGAGGCCCCGGCGCCTGCCAGCACCCCGCACCCGCCGAGCCCTGCCCTCCCACTTGGTAAGCCTGGGCAGGAGGCTGGCCTGGGGGTCCCTCCCTGGCCCCTCAGAGCCCGTTTCTGTCTGTGAGCAGGGTGATAGCTCCCCGTGTGCCCAGCGAGCTGTGAGGGGCCGCCTTTGGGGCTGAGGGCCAGGGCAGGCCCCTGGGGAGCTCACAGCCCACCGGGGCCGCCTTCTTCTGCCACAGCCGCCCCGCCTCGGGGTGGGGGGTGCGGCGCCCCGTCCTCCTTTCAGGAGCTCCACCGGCCGCGGCCACTCCCCGGTTTCACTCCAGCGATTAGTCAGACTCCTCCGAGACTGGAGGGGATGGCTCAGCAGGGCGCTAGCTCACGCCTCTCGGGCGTTTGGGGCTGGGCTGGGACTCCCCGGGGTGCCTGGGGGCA